CATTTGACTTCTTGAAGGGCTTCTCCATCAGCTGAAGCACCGTTTTCATACAGTCAACACAAAACTGGCCTACTCAGATCTTGTTACAAGACAAAAGGCATCTGTCCCATTGCTTTGGAAGAGGGAGATGTCCAGAGACCAAGACCTGAAGAAAAGGCCAGAGAGACATCAAGATAAATTATTTTTTTCATGGTGGATTATCTTGGTGATAGCATTTCAAACTAGCATAAGGGGGACTAAATATAAAGAATGGTAACCAGGAACCAGTTTGCAAGGGGTCCAGGATAACCTTCCCCACAAAAGATGTTTCATCATTACAGAAAAACAGAGGAAAAAGGAGAACATGGGGAAAGTGATCAAAAGCTCAGTTTTAACTCTATTCAATAGCAGTTGATTCCTGAGTCTCTGAGAAAATCCCTAAAAAGAGGACACTAGAGACACTGTCTAAGAGTGTATGTGGATGGAGACATCCTAAGCAAAAGAACTGATCTCTGTTTAAATGTAATTTAAATGACATTTGCAGAAAGGGCCGCTCAGAGAGAAAGCACGGGGGCACTGCAGGGAGTCAAGCATGGGGCCCAGACTGGAAGGCATGGAGGAGGCAAAGAGGAGGAAAATTTAATCAAATCAGAGAGTTCATTAGCTGCCTGCTTTTGGGAAGTGGTGAATGATTTCCTTGTTTTGCTTTGCTTACTTGCATGACTTTTCCTTTACCCATTAAACTGTCTATATCTCAGCCCATTAGTTTTCTCACTCTTCTACTTGCCCCATCTCACGGGGCGGCAGCGAGGGAGCAGTTGTGTGGGGCTTAGTTGCCAGCTGGGGTTAAACCATGATGTATTATCTTCGAGAAAAAGACATGCCAGCTCTGATCCAGTGCAGCTGTGAGACCTTAGATCAGAGGTGAGCAAAAAGAGCCATGTGAGAAAGCACACACTGTGGGCTCCCCACCTTTGCTTGGGGGCTGTGTTTAAGCTCAGATTCATTCATAGATTTCTAGATTTCTAGGTTGGAAAAGACCTCAGAGATCATCGAGTCCAGCCATCCCTAATCCCCATTAAACCATATCCCTAAGTAGATCATCCACCCTATTCTTAAACACATCCAGGGATGGGGGACTCAACCACCTGCCTGGGCAGCCTATTCCAGTGGCTGACAACCCTTTCAGAGAAGAAATACTTTCTAACACCCAACCTGAATCTTCCCTGACTAAGCTTATACCCATTTCCTCTTGTTCTGTCACCCAACACTAATGTAAAGAGCCCCTCCCCTACCTCCCCACCATCCTTTCTCAAGTATTTGTAGGCTGTAATCAGGTCTCCCCTCAGCCTCCTCTTCTCCAGGCTAAACAGCCCCAACTCCCCCAGCCGCTCCTCATAAGTTTTATTTTCCAGCCCCTTGACCAGCTTAGTCGCCCTTCTCTGGACTTGCTCCAAAAGCTCAATACCTCTCTTAAAGCGAGGGGCCCAAAACTGGACACAATATTCCAGGTGCAGCCTCACCAGTGCCGAGTACAGGGGCAGGATCACTTCCCTGTTCCTGCTGGTCACACTATTCTTGATACACGCCAGTATCCCATTGGCCTTTTTGGCCCCCTGGGCACACTGCTGGCTCATATCAAGCCGATAGTCAACCCACACCCCCAGGTCCTTCTCCGCCAGGCAGCTCTCCAGCCACTCTTCCCCGAGCCTATAGCGATGCTTGGGGTTTTTACACCCCAAGTGAAGGACTCTGCACTTGGCCTTATTAAAGCTCATGCCATTGGCCTACGCCCAACTATTCAGTCTGTTCAAATCCCTCTGAAGGGCCTCCCTACCCTCGAGCAGATCAACACAGCCTCCCAGCTTGGTGTCGTCCGCAAATTTACTGAGGGTACATTCAATCCCCTCATCCAGGTCATTGATAAAGATGTTAAACAGAACTGGACCCAGCACTGAGCCCTGGGGAACCCCACTGGTGACCGGCCTCCAGCCGGATTTAGCCCCATTTACCACCATTCTTTGGGCTCACCAGATGCTCGGCTCTGGTCACAGAGCACGTGCCTGGCCACATGCCCTGCTGATTTGGACCATGACCCACAGACTTCATTTCTTGTTTTGACCTCAGACCTACTTTGTCTCTGTGGACTCGCCTTGTGACCACAGACTTGCCTGGCAATCACTGCAGTACTGGCTGATCCTGGTTGTTGTCATCGTTTCTTCATGGAGCGCCTTTGTTGATGAGGCTAGTGCCTCTGCGTGCCTGTTACCCTTGGCTCACCTCCCTTTGAGGAGAATCCCACTCCTGCTGCTCCCTGACAGATCCATCCCTAGGTGTTTCGGAAATTTTATTTCAGAAAACAATACTACAGAGTACTGAAATTCCGATCTTTCAACAGAAATCAATGCTGACTTTGTACCTTGTATCACAAAATCTCTTCTAAGGTGTGATTTACTATAGTGGTATTGATTTTCTGTACAAATCAGGAGACATTTCTGAGCAAACTTGTCGTTCAGCAGAATGCCTCATCTGGAAGAAACATGAAAGCCATGTCCCTTTTTAAATGTGATAGCAGTCTTGTTGAACCGATTGTCATTTCAGCGTTAAGTATAGCTTACAAGATTTCTTTTAGGAAAACTGCATTTGCCACTCGTCTTGATTTTCCTACAGAAGTTGCCCTGAAGATCATTTTCAGCATAACTAGTTTGAATACACATGCCCCTTTGGGATATCAGCGTCCAATTTGATTAAGAAGATTTAACGTCCCTTGAGATGCCAAACTGACATCCCGAGTTTAAAGACAGGGAGCAAAAGAGCTCAGGCATCTGTTACCAACCTGTTTTATACGCTGTATTTAAAGCCCAGTCTCCAGATCCACAGCCATTCCGTCAACTTTACTAAAGCAGCACCGAGTTTACACTGGGGATCACCACAGGGCTGACACGTGAATTAGGAGCGGCTCCGTGCTCCCGCTGGGGCTGGCTCCCCCGCTGCACACTGGCAGCAGCGTGGTCCCAGCAGCGTGGCGGCCCGTGACAAACTGCCTGTCAGCAATTGGTTCCTCCCTGACATGCTGCACGTCACGAACAGCAAATTCACATGTTCCAAAGACTCTCTTTGAAAGAGCAAACATTATGGCCGAGTGTCTCAGAGCACCTTTATCTTGTAGTGATTGACCTTGGCCACCCTCCAGGAACTCAAATTTTGGAAAGAGCAGTCACTCTGGCAATCCAGCTCCAACCATCTGTCACACATTGCCATTACCTCTTCCCCATCTGACTGTGTTAAATCAATGCTAATAATTTATATACCAATTACTTAATATAATAAGAACATACAACTTCGTGGCTAAAAGGTGCTGCATGCTGGGACTGCTCCAGTAGGGGCTGTTGCCCCAGTGCCTCTCACCGTTCCGAGTTTACTCTCCAGGACCCTTTCAGCTCACAATGCATACGGCTGGAAATTCGATCGCAGGAAAGAGCCAACAACAACAAGAAACATAGTTCCTGTTTTCAGATGTGAAGAGAGGTAGGTGGGAAGACATGGACCTGCTTGCTCCCTGTGCCATGACTGCCTTCCTGCAGCAGATACAGACCTGCTGGTGACATGTTGCCCATAAACCTGGAGACCCAACTCAGATCTGTAGAGGGGTTAGAAGGAGAGGTTATTCCCTGTGTTGCCAAATTTCCCACCAATGTTCCCTGTGGGATAAACCCCACACCCAACTCTCCTGACAGGAGCCAGAGCCCCCAAAGCTCTTCGCTCTCTGTCCCAGGACCTGCCACGGTTAGTGGGAGAGGTGGAGGTCCACTATGGTCCCACAACCATCATGCACCTTTGCACTGTCACACTTGCAGGGCTGGCAGCAGGAGACCTGTGTGTCTTTTCCAGGTGTGTCACGGACTTCATTAATTCCTTGTCTACAAATCTTGATGATCACAGTCCCTGAACTCTCGATCCAATGAATCTCACCCTGAGTGCTCTTTGAGAGATGCTGAATGTGTTTCCACAGGCAAACAGAGTGCTCCTGCACCTGCTGCACTTGGCTTCACTGCCTTCTCTATGACTTACTTAAAAGTTGTACCTGTTGCCAGGGAAGGCTGCACCACACCTCTCAGAGTAAACACCCCAAGAGCCAATTTTCTTCTTGGTGTTTGCGTGGTAGATGATGGTGAAGAAGCAGTAAAGCACTTTGCATACCTGCCAACATCAAGGCTTTTATGCATTCGGTTCGGCCCTGCATCGCAGATTTCATCAGTGCTGTGTATCCGAACACATTCCTCTTCTCAATATCAAGCCCAGGAAAATAGTTCAACAAATAGTTTGTAATGGTTATGTGCCCTTTAAAGAAATGAAAAAGCAGAGAAAATATGTCACAGAATTAAGGTGCTGTCTCAAGGTTAAACCAAAAATTACCCCTGCAGGTTTGATAACTGGAAAGATGCAGATTACTAATGAGATGGCTTTTCTTCATATCCTCTTCCACTCTTGCAGTCATTAGCCTTAGGGTTAGGTGGCACTGACTTGTGACCAGAGTGTCGGGCTAGGAGCCTGGAAACCTGCATTCCCACCTTCTCTCAAGTTGCTCTCCTCTCTGAAAAGTCAATTTAAGGCAAGGAAGTAATTGAAAATCAGAGATAGTCACTCTGAGGTTGTGAATGGCCTCAGTTTCTTGACTCAGTAAGTAGCACTGCAAAGGGAATTCCTGCAGTTTATGGAAGGAAGGCACATCATCTGGGGCAAATAACTGCAAAGGTTCAGCTTTTTCACTCCCTTGTTAAATTTGAACCTCACTGTCATGGTGCTTCATTAAAAAGTGATTACATGCAGTAGTTCCAGCCAATAATACTAACAAACCATGCCAGGCCTGATACGAGACAAAGAAATGCTTTGCGTAGAATCTCACATTTTTATTTTTCCATCTGACAGTGTAAAGCCACTTGTCTACTCTCCAGCAATGGGAAAATGGGGCTGATGCTCAGTTTTATTAGTAAAATAAACGACTTGCGTTCTGTTTCTAAATCAACTGTTGTTGCCATGCATGTGCCTGGTACGCCAGGATAACTGGTGTCAGCAAGGGCCTACTGAGTAGTTGAAGACATCTCTGGCTAAATGGTTGGAAGACCAATTAAAACATCAAGTCCTTGTAATTGGACTATCAGAACAAGATGAGTATCTACTGCCATTATGACTCATTCAAAACAGTTTTCCCTTCACTTGTCATTCATTTTATGATGCTTTGATGCTTTATAAAATAATGCAGTCTGTCAGGCAGCTGCAACAATCACAATTTAATTACTAGGAGCTGTAAAAATAGTCTCTCATCTCACTCTGCAGTCCAGCTGAATATTCTGTGATGTATATCATTCAAATTCATCTAGGAATGTTAGTGAAGCAGATTATAATTCATATAGGAGAATTTTTAAGTCTATAGTGTCACATCTGGTGCAGATTTCATCAGCAGCCACTTTGTACCAACACAGTCCTGCATTCACATTGGAAAGCAAGTTAAGAAAATCTTTACCAATTAACTTAAGATGTTTTCTAGGTGTTGCTCTTCATCTCCTAGAATTTGCTGGAGTCTGCTACCTTGCTGCATAACTGGAAACTCTCCTGAAACCTGAGTAGATGTAAAGACAGTGCAGATCAGCTTAGCAACACCAGAGAAAACCAAACGAGGAGCTCCCTGAACCTTGCACAGTCTGATGCAAATGAAATACAAAGATACAGTAAACCGCAACAAACTGATCAAAGCAAAAGTGAACCGGGTTCAGGCAGGATCAAGTGACCCGATCCTGCTTACTCAATACAGAGGCTTCAGCTTCACTGACTTTATGGCATAAGGTCAAATCCTAACAGGGTATTGGTTACTACTGGGAGAGTCTTTGTCCTCAAATTGTTTTGCAGGACATGCTCTGCTTCATTGATGTACAGTGTGCATTTTCATGAAGGTTTCGGAACAGCTGAAATACTGCTTTTTGACCACAGAAACCAGAGACAGTAACCGAAACAAGGAGAAATAATAAGATGGAAGATTTTTCAGCATTTGTTGCGTTACTGAAGATGTTTTTCCCTTTGCCAAAAGTATAGCTGATGTAAGAGACGTTTTGCAAATCTAGGATGATCCTAAGAGTCAATCCTGAAAGATCTTGCTCAGCCAAAACTCTTCAGGGGACTACAGATGGCCTCAAATGAGACTGAAAAAAAAACCCCAGCAATAAAATAACAAAGAAATGAAGAGGTTTGTGGTTCTCAGAAGTTTTGCATCTCAGGGATTCCTGAAAACCACTTTGGTTTTAATCTGCAGGAGCTTCTGTCCTCTGAGGTTTGCATCAAATTTCAAGTTCAAACAGATACCACATTCAAAGCAAAACTCAGAGCTGCCAAGTTTTTGTTCAAGCTCTGTCATGTGCTTTTGATTTAAGGCCATAAAGTTTGCTTCAGTTCTCCTGTGTCTGGGCCAACTAAAAGCGTGTATCCAAATCATAAACTAGGTGAGTCTTCTGTGATTTAAAGTCTGCTATGAAAGCTATACGCAGCTCTAAAATAAATTAGCCTGGCCTCAGCCAGTTTGGTCATACTGAATTCATCTCAGGCTCTTGCTGTTCATAAGCCAGATCTATCCTCTACCAGAACTGGCATGCTAAGGGTAGGCTGCTTCGTCTTGTGAGCCGTATTTACAGATGAGCACAGATGTCCGTAGTAGCTTAATTCACTTAATTGCTGCCCCAGAGGAAATCCATATGATGACGACAATATTACCTAATAATCTATGTAATGCAGGCAGGATAGCTTCATAGTAAGGAAGATGTTTTGTCATATGACATAACAGTTTCAAATTGTACCTGCCGAAAGCTTGTGTTTGGTCTATGGGTGGTGAATGCTTTCTGACGGATGGGTGGAACCAAAGACACCCAGAACCTTTTATCCCCTGGATGCTTAAGGTGGTTGTGTTCTCCTCTCTCCCTTAATAAGCAGACACTGGGGTAACTTGTCATTTTGTTTTCCCAGCTCTAGAGCCTTGCCCCAACTGGTCCTTGTAACATAAAACATCTATACTTTGTGAGCAAGTATGACTTTCTATAAACACCAGTGTATGCCCATTACCATATGCTGCCACTGATGTAGCTGTGTCCTCAGAAGCAGCAGAACTGAGAAAACAACATTAGCGTAATTTTCCTCCCTTTTTGCTTTTTTTGAAACCACTCTCCTTCCTTCCTTCCTGTCTTTCCACTTGTTATTTCAATCTCTTGTTTGCATCAACATCCCATTTTTTCTGCATTATCCTTGTACTGACGTTTAAGGATTTTGCTTCTGCTCTAACAGCATAACCACCCATTTCTGGGCACCACCTGCTGCAGGCTGCAACAAATTTACAGTTTTGGAAGGCAAGATCTCTTCGAGAAGGGATCGCACATCCGAAAGAAATACTGAGAGAGCAAGTGAACAGACCAGTTTTCAAACCTGAAATTTACGCACTAAGCAGAGCACTTTGCAGTTATTTTTCTACGCTAATAAGCTTTTTAAGAAAGTTCTGCTTTTCACTGATCCATCCAGCCTATCTTTCTCAGGTCAGCCCATGCAGAAAAACTTCAGCTTTAGATACTTTAAGAAGAGGACCTTAAATTATCAAAAGCAAATGGATATGAGAAACAGAATTCACTTCTATTATGAGACTCTAGCTGATCTTTAAAATAACTCTATTTAATTCAAGCTGATGCTCAGATTCGAGCGTCATGTCTGGGCAGTCATGAAATGGCAAAAGCAAGTACGGATTTTAAACTCCTCCAGCAAAAGTAAAGAGGCCTCCCTGTCATCTCCCTTAGCATCTGTACCTAGCATTACAAATGCAGCCTCTGAAACACAGAGAACGATCCCTCAGGATGGCAGCCTCTTTCCCATACATCTCCTCTTCAGGGTCTGGCCATATGTGATGGCCCACCAGATCAGTGGGTCATAAGACAGGTCTTTCTGAAATCTTCTTATATCACCTTACGATCAACTGAAATAATGCAGATTTGCTATTAGATTCTCTACAGAAAAAACAGTACTCTTGGTATAAATAACAGTGATCTCTCAGAATAATTTGTTTTTCAAAAAATACTATTATTTCCACGGCCTAAGGGAAAAAAACAAAACAAAACAACAAACACAAATAAACCCTCCACTAAAGAAAAGCTTACAAAAGCTTTGCTTTAGTTCTTTATAATACACTGCTCAGTGTCACTACTTAACATTCAGCATAATTAAGCAGCATCTACTGCACCGTAGCTCTTCTGGTTGCAATGTTAACCTCCTGGTAATCTCTATTAACACCACGCCGTATCTTGTGATAATGAATTAAATAACTGGTGTCAACACTGTAGCTCAGGATTATCACAGGCAGGGGAAAACATCCAAGTTGTCAGGAGTTTGTGTAAGCTTCTGCTGACTACAGTCACTTCCAATTGCTTTGGGGATCAATAGCAAGTACTGGCAGAGAGTGTCAAGTCAATGTCAGCCCTCTGGATTAATTCTGAGCTCATTATCATGAGTTATAAAGGTCAGGAAGGAGTCAGTGTTAAAGTTAAACCTTGTGTAGTCCAAATTTATATTAGGGCAGATAAATAAAGTAGATTAGAGTTTTGGAGACTTCTCCACTTTCTTTGGAAAGCTACTATAATCATGACTTTGTTATGAAAGTGACAGCTCTGGTCCTAATTCTTTATTCGAATATTCAAGACCTATCTCATAGTGGCTTTTTTAGCAGAGTTCACTTTTTTGTACAACACAAAGCAAACTTTGGTGTTACCTGGAAATGTCTAGTGGCAATATTACTCAATTAAAATCAAAACAGTGGTACAGTTTTAACAGAAATAATCGACTGATTGCTTTTTAACTGTACATTTGAAACTAGTAACTCTTTTGAGAGCATCTCTTACATTTATGTGATCTGTTACACTTGTTCACTGAATATTACCATGTTGGGTGGGATAAAAGAAAACCTGGGGATAAACTCTGCTCTCACTCCAGTCTGCATCAGGATTAACATGGTCAATGTAAATATAGTCAGTCTGTTATAAAAGCAGCATTGGCAAACACTGAATCTTGCTTTTAACTATGGAGTGGTTGAGGGATGTCTTAACAGCTAAGACATGTCTTAACGATGATACATTTTTCTACAGTCGGCAATTGCTACAGACCCACTAAGGCAGGTGCGACAAGCATGAGAAAAAAGGTGCTATGAGCACTAATCCAGCACATTATATGACCACAATGTTGACTGGTTGCTTGCCAGAGCAAACATAGGAAAATAAGCTTAGAGGAACAAAGTAGTATAGTACTGCACACTTGGGGCAAGATTTTCTTTATTTTTAAATTAAAATAGTTAATGGCATCTACTAGAAATGTATAGCTTTTACTCTCTTAATCCTTTGGATAAATATTACTGTAGATTAATTAGTTCAAAGAAAATCGTGGCAAACTTATTTGGGAGTGGGCTTGGCCAGGATTATTTTATGCAGACTAATTTCTTTCACAGCTTTGAAAAAATCCTAAAGATAATAGCTACAACACACACTCCTCCTAAGACCCAGTATGTAAGAGGTGAAACAAAGAGCCTTACCTGCTTGTGCAGCTGTAATTAGAGCCGTGTTCCCTTCGTTGTCCTGCCAGTTCACATCAAGGTGAGGGCATTGTGCTAAGGCTATTACAATATCCACATAACCTTGGTAACAGGCAACTATAAGACCATTCTGTAAGTAAAATATAAAGAGAGATTTAGGTTTACCAGAGTCAGAAAAGTTCACTGAGGAAGCATACTAGTCTGCTTTTTTATTTATTTTTATTTTTTGTCAGACTGAAGAACTGAAAAGGTATGCACATAACTAGTGATTAGTTCCAGGCACAATGTTCAGATCCAAAACACTGCTTTTTATCTCTGCCCTTTGGCAAGTAACATTTGGTATTCCTCAGAAATACCTAAGAGAGTAGGTATTATATTACGCTACTTGGAAAGTAACTGTTTAGAAATGGCTTATGCTTATATGGCTATATACTCTATATCCAAATGAGAATAAATCAGATTTTATTATATAATAAAATGATCCTAGCAGATAAGATGAACTGGACCTGCTCTGAATATTAATTCTCTGAAAAACAACTGCTTGTTCTCTGAAGGGGCAGTGCTAGGCAGCAGTCCTGTTCATACTGCCTGTTGCTCTCTTTAAATGCTTCAGGTTTCCCATTAGAACTAGACCTTTTTTTATAACCATAAATAAAGTGGAATTGCTTTTAGAGTTCCTGTTTAATGTGCTTTATGACAGCTGGAAGCTGTAAAACTTCCAAGAGGAAGCCAAGCCAGGAGGTAAACCTTATAAGTCCGCTTGGTACCCAGCTAGCATTTCGCTCCACAGCGGCAAACTGACAGCTTTCCTAAAATACAGCAAAATACACTCGTCATTAATTAAATGGTACTACAGTACTTAATCCTGGCTGCTCACTTGACCACTAGGATTAAAACCATTATCTCCGGTCTTCAGGATTACTCTGGCAGCCCGATGTTCATCTGCACGGGGCTGACGGACACAGAGGAGGGCAGGTGCAGATGAACCCGCGCTCCCTGCGGTCCCTCTCCATTGCCAACGCATGACTTGGTTATTTTGAGCTCAGCATCAGTATCCAGCTATTGAAAAGACAAGGGCAGAGACACAAATCTCAACCTCTCTGGCAACCCTGCCTGTTTGAAATGTGCTCACATGGACATGATGCAAGTTCACACCCACAAAAGACTAGCAAGAAGGAGAACCCAGTTTTGAAAACTGAATGGCCCACCCTGACTCCTCCATCATTTTTCTAAGCTGCTCTTGCACAAACACTCTTTTTATTTCTTTTTCCCCATGGATGCTACTGAGACAGAGACATTCACCAAATGACAACAGCTGTGGTTTCTGATTTATTGTTGTTATAACTAGTTAGTTAATATTTGTGTCCTGTTTCATTGTCATTCTGGATAGTCCTTTTGGTTTAGGTGGAAAACAGCTTCATTAAGAAACAGAGGCAATGCCAACTCTTTGGGATGCTCACAGGCTATGTAGAGTATTTCTCAATTACATCTTTTCATAAAATTTTTACTCTGATTTCTTTTATTCTCAATTCACTTGTGTCCTCAGTATGAAACAACACCCACGAATGCTTTATAAAGAGCATCTCCATTTCCTTGTGAAGCATCTGTAATACTTCAAACCGTTCTATTGAAACTGTACAGAAGATTCTGCTTAAAGATATATATATATATACACACACACACATATGACCTGAAATAGGTCACGAAAAAGTATGTACTCTCCAGGTGGGATTGTTCAGCTTAATCCAAGCTTTACTACAATGTAATCATTCTTAGCTTTTCTTTAAAAAAAGTATCAGTGGCCATTTGGTAAGAACTTGAGTATTATTTCAATTCTTTAATAATTTTATTTTTCACCTGATGTTCAGGATACAGGTCTTTATAATTCAAAAAACTCTGCAGATTTAAAACACCACCTAATCATTCCAAAAAAATGCCAATTACTAATGATAGCAGAAAACTAAGCGTACAATAGGTTGGAGATCCAAAATTCTTGACAATGAGAAGGCAGATCCTCTTGTTCACTGAAAAAAAAAAGGCATTTTTGAAGGGTGGTATTTTGAAAAAGCTGTGAGAATATCTCAGAGTAATTTTTACCTCTAATGGAAAAAACTCAGTATCTTAAGGATATTTTCACAATGTATTTCCACAGGACATTTTTGTGTTCAAAATGTATTTACCAGGTGCTTAAAAAAAAAAAAAAAAAAAAAGTTCATTTTTTGCTCTCTTTAAAAAAGAAAAAAAACAAACAAACTATAACACAGTAAAAGAAGCAATAACAACAAACACTAACTAACTCTTTTTTGCGAGAGGCTTTTGCATTACAGTATTCAAGGACTTTTATCCTAGTTTTAGTGGGTTCTTCCACCAGACAGTGCTAGAGACATATCCGACACATGCTGGCATTCTGATTTCAGCAGATAGGAGACACAAGCGATCTCAAAATCGATCAACTTTCTTCACCGTTAAGAGTTTACAAACCAGAAGGATTACTTAGGTATCAACATTTTCTAAAGTCTAGTTCCAAAGATGCTATCAAAGACTGCTTGCCTACGGATAAGGAAGACTAGGAGCTCTCTGTGGGATTACATGATGCGGTAACATGGAAAATAATTTCTGAAGGACGCTTGTACGAATCTGAAATGGGTCAGATAAGACTGTGAGAAGCCGGTAACTGACGGAGCGTGCCTAGCGCTCCCTGGTCGAGAAGCAAAATGAGCAGTCGCAGGAGAATATAAAAACTAGTTGTTTCAATGCCATATGGTTCCCAGCACCATGCAGGGCTGTAAAACTGATGCAAGTGCTGTCTGGTTGCCCTCATTGGTTACGTGTTTGATAGGGGGGTGGATGAGACAGACCGCTTGCAGAGGGACTGCTTTCCTTTGCATAACTCTTGCGAGTGTATCGGATATTGAAACGAGGTGCAGGAGGTTACAGCTTTAGAGCTAAAATTGCAATAAACCCCTGGATTCAATTGTTATTTTCTAAATCCTAGTTCAATGATACTGTGATAATGTGTGGTTTCAGGTTGCTTTTTTTAAATTTTTTTCCTTTTTTTTTCTCTTTGCATCCATTTCTGGCTCTGTCTGTATTCTGCTTGCTGAAAGTTAGTTCAAGCAAATCAGCCAGGACACACAATCAATCAATCAATCACAACATAAGTCATTAGTCTGGAATCTTTAACTTCATATACCAATAAATACTATTATCCACAGACATCACGTATTACAAACTCTTTCAACAATCTCAATTAATAAATATAACTGATACGACATTGCTTTCAGCGAACTGTCTTTTGAAGCAATCAGTAAAGAAGTGGCCTGTATCACAGCAATCTGCAGGGAAATACAACTGTATGCTTAATGTTTTTTTAACCGATAAAAATAAAGCAGTACAAATGAATTTTAGCTAGAAAATTCTGAACCTGAGTAATCCGGTTATCCTCAGAAAAAGAGATGACATTTTATCTCATTACTGTTCTACCAAGGCATCAATTATTCTGCTCCTCATATGAAGGGTTACAGTGCAATTATGAAGTGGTCAGTGTATGTGGGGAAAAAAAAAAAAAATTAAATTGAATCTTACTATTATTTTGTCAGGAAGATCAATTCTCAGACTGTCATGGTTTGATGTGGAGGGGG